GGGCGTCTATGAGCAAGACTCTATGGGGGTTCTATGAGCAGGACCCTATGGGGGTTCTATGAGCAGGACTCCACAGGATTCTATGCACAGAACTCTATGGGGTTTCTGTGTTGTTGTTGATAAGTGCCACTGAGTTGATCATGACTCATAGTGACCCTATGAACAAAATATCTGAACACTGTTCTAGCCTGTGCCATCCTCACACTTCCTGACACACAAGAGCCCATTGCAGCAGTCACTGTGTCAATCTACTTGGCTCAGGTTCTTCCTTTCCTTTACTGATCCTCCAGCCTTCTGAGCATCACGTCCCTTTCCAAGGAATAAATAGCCCCTCCTAGCAACATGCCAAGGTATGTGAAGTGAAGCCGCATCATTCCTGCCTCCAAAGGACACTCTGGCTACACCTTCTCCATATCTGTTTGTTCTCTTGGCTGTCCTTGGGATATTTAATGCTCTACTCCAAAACCACAGTCCAAAGGCATCAATTCTTTTTCAGTCATCCTTATTAACTGTCCAGCTCTCAGACGCACAGCTAGTAATTGGAAAGATCATGGCCTGAATTAAACACACCTTAGTCCTCAAACAGACGTCGTTACTCTGGCTGCTGTGAGCAGGAGCTGATTCAACAGCAATGGGCCTAGTTTTATAGCCACCACAGTTAGAAGACTGCACTTTCTAAAAAGTTTCATATTGACTATTTTACAATAAATTACTAATAGCTTATGAACATATAAAAAAATATTTATCAATACCTTGAGTTAGGTCTATGATAAATCTATTCTGATTTCAAGTCAGTTCTTCTTTTCAACAATTCAGGTCAATCAATGAGCAAATAGGTAATTCTCCTCTGGTTGTCTCCACTACGGTCAACTCTGAGGATGACTGGTTTATGAGCAGTACAAATATTTGTGCACAGCACAGTATTTAACATTATTTTTTTCATTATCAACTATATTACTTTAAGTTTATGCAAACAAGAAGTTCATTTGTTTAAGTAACATTAATACAAACACTTGAATAGAGAAAATCAGCTCTTCTTAAAATCTCTGTAGGAAGCAGATTTAAAATTTCAGGAGGCATAAAATACTAATGAAGAACATGACACGTTTGTGCTTTTAGGTTTTAGGACGTAACTACTATTCACTTTCTCATATAGAGTAAGTCTAGGGGTAAAAAATCAAAAACCCACAAACAACAAAAACCAAACACATCAAGTGTCAAAAACTTCTGGGAGTTATTCTTAGAAGCAACATAACAGTATAACTTTTTAGGATAAGTGTCATTCAAGAGCCCTATTCTTA